ATTTAAATTGACTGGTATGATGGGAGATTTATAAGATAATAGAAGATCAAGAAAGTTGGTGAAACATGAAAGTAGGACATCAAAAAGGATGTATGAAGAAAGGTTGGCTGAAAATGTAGAAATTAACAGTAAGGATTTTTTTAAGTACGTTAACAGTAAACAGAATGTTAGGATGGGATAGGACTCTTCAAGGATGATAAAGGAAGGCTTGTATCTGTTGAGTAAGAGAAGGCTGGGTTATTAAATAAAAATTTAAGAAATATTCATCATCTTGAATAGTTGATGGATAGAAAAAAAGGTTGGACAGTAATATGATTGCATTAATTGTGTGCTTGTTAAGAAAAAATTGGGAAGTGAGCCAGGTAATATTTCCCCAAGGGTTTTGAAGGAGGTTAAAGATTGGATATCTGAGCCACTTTGTACAATTTTTGTAAGTCCTTAAAAAATGGGCAGTAAGTGCCCAAGGATTATGTTCATTGGTTGTTGTATAGGTTAAATGGTCAATATGATAAATAGGTATTTCTTTTATTGAGCAATTGATGGCACCTCTCTAATGAATAACTCTTAGCCAAGGTGAGTCGAAAATGTTTGTAAACTGCTGCCAAAACCAAGGACAGTCTTTAACCCTTTTGATATGGGCGAAAGGCCATGTCATCTCGTTTGTTGACTCGCATTCAAAATGGTATTGAACTACTATTTCATGAATTTATGTCAATAACTTTGGTATCAAACTCTAGATTATAATTCATATTTTAGTACTATATGTTACTCAATTTCTTAATTTAAAAGTGTATATTGAAAAACACTGGCTCAAATCAGATGTTTGTGAAGTCAAAATACTAAGTATATACTTTTATCTGAATTAGAAACTCAAATTACCAATGTTGCCAAGCTAGAATATAAAATAAGAGAATCTTATCTTTTCAGTTTGCTAAGATATTGCTCATGTAATAAATCAAACACAGTGGCACCCAACCCACCTCTTTCCATTTTTGGAAACGCTCCCTTATATACGCTTCTATATATGATATAAATAACCAATCAGAAGCTCAGAATGTCCCCCTAGTGGCTTTCTTAGCCATTTCTTTCTTTTAAACCAATATTTCAATGAGGTAGGGTGTGTATTTAGTCTGCTTGGAATTTCATATTTTTTGACTAAAATACATCTTAGTTACAAAGCTCTATAAATTATAATGGAATTCTATGATACCAATATAGTAATTTATGATTTTTTAGTTATTCAAATGTATATATAAAACCTAAAAAAAAATCATTGTTTCATATTCTTCACATGCAAATTTTTTAAAGGCTTAGCACCCTACGTCAAGCAGCAACCACGTACAAAGGTCGTAACTAGAAGAGATAATTGTTTGCATTACTTCTTTAGTTACTGTTCTCTGTTTTAAGAAAAATAATTTTAAGAACTTATTTCAAAATAGCAATAATCTATGTTACTTCACCAATTAATCAAGGAACCTACTATAAACAATGTTATCTTAGGTTTATTGTTG